TTTTTTKKTTTTTTGTTTTTTAACTGGAGAATGCACTCTACTTATATATACTTGATTGTGCTAGAGTTTTCTACTCTGGCCATTCTTCAGTGTAAGCCTATTATATAATCAGCCTCACTGGCTTTTGGTTTTTCTGTGTCTTTTGAACACTAGGACATGGATAAAATTATGTCAGCCTTTTTAACATGTCTTCCCTTTATCATGGATAAACCATATGCCAAATAATAGTTGTTCTTTTAGCCTGAGTCTCAGAAAAATAATTAGGAGACTAGAACCCAGTCAATAGCCTGAGGCTAGGTTGCCACAGTCTACTCCCAAAGAACATTTTTTTTTCAAGTCACAGAGATATTAAGGCTCTTTTACTATACAACTATTAATTTACTATACAACAATTAATCTGATGAAAGCTGATTATTAAAAATAAGTTTCCAGAAATGTAGCATTTCTACAGATATGTAAAATATATGTCAGTGACTTCTAGATAGGGAAAATGCTTACAGGTGACTGAAAAATAAATAGTAACCCATGGTATGCAGTGTCAAAACAGTATGGTTATCACTTGTGACAACTTGAAAATCAGACTAGTTACTTAGTGCATTTATAACTTTGCTTAAGTATTAGCAAATCCAAATGCTAATAGCTTTAGTTGATTGTTTTCAGTTACATTTCCTAAGTTCTTACATGATAGAAATGATCTCCAAAAAGGATTGATGTGTTTGCCATCAGGAATAAAAGGAGGGAGGAAAAAAATCCAGACATTCTGGGTCTTGAGGTTAAAAYATGGCAATTACTTTTCTCCATTTTATAGCCCTTGGTGAAGCCAATCTACTACAGACTCAAGGGAAAGATGTATCTTTGGAATCAAACAGACTTGGTAGATTTTTACACTTAAACTCAGCCACGTACTAGCCATATGGTGTGATGTATTGGCTAAGAAAGCTGGTTTCTGCTCTGATTAAAAACAATTACAAAATGTCAGTTGCTTAGAAGAACAATTTTTTTTTTTTCAGAGTTATGCCACATCTCCAACACGGGAGGGCTGGGAGTTGTACTCACTGTAGTCCTATCCCAGTACTCAGAGTCCCAGATGGAYAATCTGAGAGAGCTTTATAGGAGCACTAAATTTTGAGTAAGAAAGTTAATCGCAGCTATAGCAACAAAACCTTGTGTACAAGTATATGTGCATAATTTACGTTAACATCTTAGTTAAGACTTACTAWACCTTGAGTAGTCTTACTGATTATTCTTTTAGTTCCTGTAAAACCTCTATTGGTCACTTAAGCACCAGAAGCTTTGGTAGATATTAAAGGACTGATAAATGAAGYCAACTGCCTGATCTCAGTCCTGTATATTCTCTAGAAGACCCAGTACAATAACATCAACCACAGCAGGCTTAAGTGCCACAAAGGACTCATGAAGCTTAGAGCCTGTTCTGAAGYACTCAATTAGAGACAGTCTTATTTATTATATATTTGTGGTGTTTTTCTTCTTGTTTTCTTTTTCCCCTCCACCCCTACTCCCCGCCCATCAAACCCAGAGCCTCTGCATGCTGGAGAAATGTCTTACCACTATAACCTAGCCCTGCCTGTTCTCTTTGTCAGCAAATAATTTCTTTAATTCTCACAACAACTTTACTCTGTCACTTAGTCTTAAATGAAAGCTACGGACTATAATAACAACTAACATTTTTGAAGCTTTAAATGTACACCCAGCACATCCATGTCCCTCTTACAGATTATCTCATTTAATATTAACAGGGTTTTGTTGTTGTTGTTGTTGCTGTTGTTATTTATTTTTTAAGTTTGGTGCTATTATTTTTATGTTCTAGATGAGAAAATCAAAGCCAAAGCATTAAGAAATTTACCCACGTTTGCAAAACTAATAGATATTTGGGTTGGGATTTGCAATCAAATAGAWTGACTCTAAACCCTTGGTTTGGTTCATTATGCTGTTGCTTCTTTTGAAGTTTGGAGAGCTTAATTCTAGTTCTATTTTTTTTAAATTACTTTCTAGTTGTAGTTGGACACAATGCTTTATTTTTATTTATTTACTTTTATGTGGTGCTGAAGATCAAACCCAGGGCCTCGCATATGCTAGGCAAGCACTCTACCACTAAGCCACAACCCCAGCTCCAATTCTAGTTATATTCTTAAACTATTTTAATCTGTTATTTTTTTTTCAGGAATTCTGGTTTTCTATTTGTCCTTCAAGTTCAAAAATTTTAAGATTCTTCCTCAAAACAAATTCTCATCTTTTGCTTTATTCTTTTTGTTTTTCAATGAAACAGGCCCATAGGCCCTAATAGAGAAYATATTTTTGATCTTAAAGCCTTTCCCTATTTTTAATATTATTTATTTTTCTCCTAGGTCTCTACAGAAGAAGGCTTGAGTCTTGCCAGAGAATATAACTGTGCTTTTTTTGAGACCTCCGCAGCCCTTAGGTTCTGTATTGATGATGCCTTTCATGGCTTAGTGAGGGAAATTCGCAAGAAGGAGTCGATGCCATCATCCATGGAAAAGAAACTGAAGAGAAAAGGCAGCCTCTGGAAGAAGCTGAAAGGCTCCCTGAAGAAAAAGAGAGAAGCCATGGCATGATCTCCTTGCTGTTGAGTCCCTCTCTGTCTCTCTGAATTTTATCAGTCGGACAATTCTGCTTCAGTATTCTCTTTTCCTCTCTCTTTATATATCTGCCTTTAGGTAGAAGTTAGATCTGCATAACTGTACCTCTCGAGATAGTTTTGTTTTGCCTTTAACAGTTGGATGGATTTTGTCAATCAGCCGGATATGCTGTTTAGTTTTTACAATATATGACTAAATAAAATTGACATTCCAATTGCCTCATTTCCCTTTAARGAGTCTAGCTTCATTTGGTATGCTGTCTGGTTATAAGGAAATATGCAAAATTGCAAGCAGAATGATAAAAGGCTCAAGGGATCTGCCTTTGCCTGATAACACTGGTTGTTTGCATTTCAGGAATCTCTGTAAATAATGAAGCAGCTTGGGAAATAATTTCAGAACAGGAATCTGCATCCTGGTCTTTCCTTAAGTGTAAAAGTCACCATACGASTTCTTGAATGCTTCAGAAATGAATGTCAGAGAAATTATTTATAATGGGAACTGGTAGGGGTCATTAAAAAGCCAAAATGAAAGATACCCTTATTTACAGTGTCCTGCCCCCTTTTCACTTGTGTGAAATTATCACAGTGAAGCCACAGGGCTGTGGCAAAAGAATATTGTCTATGTAATGAGAAGAGAATAGYGATTGTGAATTTGGTGATTCATATACTTATAGAAGGATCTTGTGCTCCCTTCAGGGAGTAATCTCTTAGAACTCCTTCATCTGCATATACATATATGTAGGTGATGAGTTTTGATAACCCAACTGACTCAACCTTGTCATATTGCTAAAATCTTTTCTCTCCTTTTACATGAAATGTGATGAGACGCCACCAGTTAGATGCTTTGTACTTGTTTTTGTTACAATGGGTCATCATGTAAAATGAAGTCATCTGTCGTTCATTTTTTTCCCATTGTGTGAATTGCCTTATTTAAATTCAAGGTAAGAAACTACTAAAAGGGATAGCTCTGAATGTTTAATAGAAAAGCATTTAGGGAAACTACAGTTAAGCATGAATTCATCAAAATAATCTTCATGGGTTGGGGGGACAGTTTTAGCATAAATTAGGGAATAAAGGGAGAAGGACAATGGTGTCCTTCAGTATTTCATCACTGATTCTTCCTTTTTTTACACAATGTCTCTGGCACTTGGTAAACTTTGAGAGTGTAGAAATGACTCACTCAGACATAGGCCCTGAAATCTTTACCTGTGAGATTCAGTCCGCATGCATTACTTTACATGTAATATTGATACAAATAGAATGGAATTTATAGATTATCAGTTCTTACCTGTTAATCAAGATCAATCTTTCAGAATATTACACTTGTGGGTTCTTTTACAGACTGGAGAGAGGGCCCTTTCTCAAACCCACCTAGAGCCCTCTGTTCTTACTCCTAGGCCTTCCCATCAAGGAAGCTAGAAGGTATTTATCTTTTGTTAGTAATTTCTACTACTCCGTCCTTTAGGCTTTACTGAAACCAAGTCTTTTATGCACTGATGCATGGACTTATCARTATTCTCCATCCTGAATTTCCCCTAAAACTAAATGCATAATACTTCTTCATTGTAACTTGTGTTCACAATTAAGATGAAAATCCAAAATAAAATAAAATAAAGTTTATATAAAATCACAAGATTTTTTTAAAAATTAAATTTTTTTTAAATTGACACATAAAAATTATACATATAAATAGGTTCATGTGATACAAGATAATCTTAAGCCTTCAAACTGATTTTTGACTTCTTCCTTTGTTTTGGAATGTTTAATTCTTTGCGTTTGTCCCTTTAAATTAGCTCATTCACCTTCAGTAGGTTCTTTGCTTCTTACAGTCCCTGACCCTGGAATCCTTCCAAGCCTGAGAATGTTGCACTCCAACAGTTACTCCCTGTTTGCCAGAAGAAGAAATTCAGAAAACAGTAATTGGCACTAATTTTTCTGTGTTCAATCTGCATTTTTGTAAACTTGATGMTTCCCTTACCCATAAATGGCATTGTTTGGTGCATTTTCTAACACAGCCAAGTCTTTGTAAATTTTTTTTTTATCTTTAATTGATAACTCCTCTGCCTTTGGCCTTAAAGTTCTATATCTCATTTTACTCTTMTTCCATCTCTTTCATTATAATGCTTAAATAAATAATTTCTATAACTTAAAATCATTTAATAGTTATTAATAATTTATGGTAAATAATTCTTGCAACTTAAAAATTCTCTTTGAGTTTTGACTTGGGGAGCAGTTGCTACATCCAACCACTTTATGGTATTTCAGGAAGGGAGTCTGCAGATCATCACCTTCAGATTGGAAGTATCTGAGATAGTTATCCCTAATAGAGTCAAAGACAAATTTCAAGCATTATTTTCAACTTATCTTTCTTATAAAAGACTGTACTAGAAGGGAAATATTCCATAAAAACCCTAGATAATTTTGCCCRAGAGATATTGAGTTGCCCCCTTTGATATAAGACCAAAATGTCAGGATCTTGTCTCTGATCATGTTCTTGAAAATTTTTATCCASACCTGGGACATCTAAGTGATTCCAAAAGCTCAGAAATTATAATGTACATTATGCCTATATTGTCCAGTGAATATCAAGATTTTTAGCCAATATGCATAGATGTCCAGAGTAAATGAATGTCTAGTCATCCAACACAAGTTATCAAAYTGTGAATAAGTGCCTAATAGGTAACAAACTTTCTCTAGTTACTACAAGAGAGTATGTAYAAGTGTGAGTTTATTCCATGGGATGGTACTAAGCAATCCTGAATATGATTTATTKCCTCCTCAAATGGACCCTCCACCTATTTTAAAGTAATTTTCATTAACTTATCCTATAGTTGGCCATGATAAAATAATTTGTCAGACCAGACACAAACACAAGTCTAAAATATCACATTTTATGTTCAATAGGCATTACCTCAGCCTAGGAACTTCTGTAGAAAATACTAGTAGGGATAAATCCTGGGCAGTTGGAATAAGCATCATACATATTGTACTCAGATGTTCAAGCAAAAGATAACTACTTCATTTCTSTATAGTTTATTTTTTCTTCCTCATGAGCCTTAGACTAATGGATAGTTGGGAGGGGGCCTACTAAAATTTAGTTTATTCTAGTAATTTAGTGCTAATCTGAGGCAGTAATTTAAGAACCCTCCTAAACTATACAATATCTACTTGGTGTGCATATGTCAAAATTTTATCATTCAAAGCTATGCCCCATGTACTCTCTGATTCAAAATTATCTCTGGGTTACAAGGTAAGGTGTGGCCCAGGTCATTTCAGGGCAGTTGTTTCTTCCTTTCATCTTCTAAGCCCTGCATTACACTCTGTTTCTTCTCTGATCTGTTAAACCAAGAGGCTGGCCTGCTTCTGTTTAATGCATTGGTTGACTCCGTTTATCAAGTGTGTCATGGTAAGCAGGCACTCCCTACTAGAGTCTGTGAACTTTCCCCCTTTGCCTTGGGTCTGGAGTCCTCCCAATACTGTCTCTTTGTTCTGACCCTAGGTCTTTCTAGTCTACCTCCTCCAGAGCCCCTGTCTCCCTTTGAGATCACTTGTGTAACACAAAGAGGATGTGTGGATTCCTGAACTCTGCCTCAATGAAGTTACTCCAGTTCTCTGCCACCACTTCAGTCTAGCTCCTGTGGGACCTCCAAGAATAGAGCTGATCCAAGTCCCTTGGCAACATGACACACAAGTACAGCCCAAGCAAAAGGGAGGTTAGCTCGAAACACTAAGTGTACCAACAACCATTACTATGGAGAAGTTGATCAGTAGCCACAGAGTTCTCAAACTTCCCTATGGTTGTTGATAATCAGCCTCAKATCAATATTCAGTCTGAAAGGCTAGGGTAGGTGATGAGTAAGAATATCCTAGGTAGTAACCTTTTGCTTTCTTTAACATCTYTCTTCAAGTCACCTCCTGATAGCCTACATGCTTTTCCTTTTATGTAATCCTATAACAACATGCTGGCACCAAAACAAAAAASTGAAAATAAAAGAGAATTAGATCATGCAAGATAGTGATGACTTCCTTGATTTAGGGGCTTCTGTTCCACCATACCATCAAAACATGAAACCCATCTCAATAAAAATATCATATATTTTGTAAAAAGACTGAAATTCATGGATCAAGGAACATATGAAAATACAGAAATATATAAGGAAACATATGAAAGTGTGTGATCATTATTATACATATATCTAAGGCCAGGCTTTCTGACCACCTTTATAAAAATTAAGGCTATAGTTTTTCTGGTTTGGATCTTTACATAATAATAAAAGAAGAAGACACAAATCCTACCTAGCCTATGTTCTATTTTTAGCTTTCACTTAAATTCTTCTACCTGATCTCAAGTTTTCCCTTTAGAATTTCAACCTGGGCTTATATGGAAAAATAACAACAACAATAAAACAAAAAACAAACAAACAAAAAAACCACAGTCATTCTTTCTGGCCACTCAACCATCATTAAATGTAAATGTTAAGAAAGTAGGAATTTTAACTATCTCATTAAAATATAAACCATATAAATACTATATTCATCAGCTTTCCATCAATATAAGAAAATACTTGACAGACTGGTTATGAGGAATAAAAAGTTTATTTAGCTCATAGTTTTGGAGGTTCAAAGTTCAAACAGCATAGTGTAAGTTCTATAGTGGTCTTTGTTCCTTTTCTAAATCATTGCTTAATATACATATCCATGGTGGGAGTGCACACAAGAGCAAGCAAGTGACTATATTTTGAAGGAGGAAGAGACAGGGTGCAACAGGCCAAGRCTGTTCCTTTTATAATAGCTCTCTTATGAGAACTCAAGAGGTCATGCAAGAACTACCCCAAGACCTAAGGATCTCCCACTTCTCGAAGCTTCTACCATCTCCCAACAGCTTTATCCAGGAATCCATATTTCCAACATGTGGCCCTTTGAGGTAACACAAACCATATTTATGCAGTAGCATTCTGTCCYTAGGCCCCCAAAGTCCATGTCTGTCATACAGTGCAAAAATGTATCCCATCCATTGCAAGAGTCCAAACATCTTAACTGTTCTAGCGCTGCTCAGAAGTCCAACTCCAGAGTTTTTTTCCAGAAATTCAAGGCAAACTCTTAGCTGTGAGCCTATAAAAATCAAAATGCAAGCTATATACTTACAAGATACAAGGTAGGGYAGGCACAAGATAAACAAAATGAAGGAAAGCCCAGCATGAAAGACATTAAAATCTAAAGCTC